TTTCCTTTTGTTCGCTGTCCATATCAAAAAAAGTTTTTAGATCAGAAGACGACGTTACTCCTTTAGACACTAAGCGTGAATACTCCACCGCCAAAAGGGTCGAAGATTTTTCTGCAATCAAGGAATTACAAAATCTGCATAAATCAAATCTGCTATTACAGCCCTCAATTTTATTGGATAGCTCTTTTTCATCTGGCCTTGTATAACTATTCGATGCTATTTTACATCCGGTACGAAATATTGTTGAAACCGTTGAATCGTAATTTTTTTGTAGATTTTGTATAAATAGTTCCGTAACGTTTTGCAAACTTGCGCCACTGTTTGATTGGGAATTAAAAGGTGTTTTGATCGGTTTTAAACCTTTAGCGTGCATGTACAGCATGACTTCCCTTTCGCTTAGATCTTTAATAGGGCGCATGAACTTTACACCATTTCCCATACGATCGTCAAGGAATGCAACATCCAAAGCAGCGTCGTTGCCACGCCCAAGTACGATCCCTGCCAATAGATCAGCTGCTATATTGACATTAATCGAAGGTATAAAGACATATTTGCAATTTAGACCCTGCGCCACAGATGCGATCAATTTATTTCGATGCACCTTTATAAGCTCGCTGCGGCTAGTTGATGATCGAATATTAAGCAAAGTATTCGTAAATACTATTTCTCTGTCCGTTCCTCGGGACAAGTACGACCCTAAATTGATAATATCAAATGGTTTTTGGTGTTCTTCACAACTTAAATTAATAATATAAGCCTCTGGACCTTTATAACTCAAAATAAGTTCTTGCACTTTTTGAACGTAACTAATAGAATTCGATGCCCTTATGTGCCTTGGAGTCAGAGCGCAATCATCAATAAAGAGAATTTTAAAATCACAATGCAGCCTTTTAAAACCTGTTTCTGTTTGTGCCTTTTGTAGCATATCTAATAGCACAACAGCTTGTGCACTGCCATCAAACACTAAAAGTATATTAGCATTCCGAGGTAAGGCTTTGGATGATCCTACTGCTGCTCGAAATTTATGATTCACATATTGTAAGAAGCAAGCCTTGCATTTCGGCTCTTTGTAAAACATTTTATACATTTCTCCTTCTTGTCCACATTTGTTGCAGACACCAGTACAGAATGAAGTGTCCATCAGTGAATGCGGAGTCATACTGCCGGCATCGCCATTGGCCCTTAAATCTTCTTCCCCTATGCTGCACATTTGTAAAACTTCTTTTCATAAAGTACACCTAGGAATTCAAACGATGCATCGATATTTTTAAAACATCGATAATATCGGTTGAAAATTCGATGTTTACCATCGATGTTTACAATTGGGGTGTTCACAGTTCGTTCCAAATAGTGTCTCAAAATGTAGACGTCTACATTTTAAGACGTTTTCTAACCGTAAAATCTGTGGTGTTGTTGTTTCCCATACAAAATTGGAAAACGACGCCGTCTACATTTTGTCACACTCAAAGGTATGTTTTTTACGCGTCTACATTTTGCAACCTCGCAGCAGGGTTGCATTATGGCAATACTAATCGCATTTTTTTTATTTATTGGGCACGTTTTCTGTATTTGCATTTAATTTGAGCGCAATTTCTGATGAAAAGAAACAAATCAAGGAAAAGATATAACAAATATTAGGAATTGGCAATTAAGTTAAATAATTACAATTTTTCAGAAACAAAATCGAAAGGCGACATATAAAAAAAGCACGCAAAGAAGAAATGTCTGGCAACACCAGCAAAGTTTTGAGACGATTTTGCGACGACTGCTAGAAAGGGGTGCTCACAGTTTGATGCTAAAGATGTCTCAAAATGTAGACGTCTACATTTTCAGACACAATTTGGAACGAACTGTGAACACCACCAATTTCTTAAAATCGCTAGGGTTGACTTCGCGAGAGTGCAACACGCTTTGACCCATAAACCAAAAATACAAGATCACGTCTTCTTAGTAGCCCGTTATAATCGCATTTAGGAAAAAAGTTGGGCGACTTTGACATTAGCCGGTTGTTTACAATTTGTTCATTGCTTACAATTTGGTGGTGGCTTTTTACTGGAATTTTCTTCATTTTCGCTTGTGACAACGTGTGTACACATAAGGTAAAGAATAAATTAACACAACGACATTATTTATAAAAGAGTTTGTAGAATAAAAATGGTGATTCATGCGTTCAACAATTACGCGGTTTTTTTTCGTTCTCTTCGTTGTTTACTTCTTACAACAAAGATGGCGACAGCTAGAAAATAACTTTTTTCTTTCTTTCGGGAAGGCGTGATGTTGTGTCTTTCGTTCATGGCTTTGACCAATGTGACTTTATGGTGGGTGTAGAGGCGTCGTACCATCACAAAACTGAAAACCGGACGGCGGGGAAACTCATAGTTTACGAGTAATTTGGGAACAAATGCAGTTGGGCTCCAAATCTCAAAAACAAAAAAAAAATATTGGGGTGGGCTTTAGTAGTCAGCCGCACCTTGTGTTTTAAAAAAACCAGGTGGAATTAACAAATGAAACTTGATCAGCATGTTAAGGGAGGTATCCTCTAAAACATGTATAACTAAAAAATATAAACAATATCATTGTTTATAAGTTATTTGTTGTTAAAATTTCTTAAGTCGTTCCACTTGGTTTCCTTAACAAAAAGTGCATTTGTCACATACTTTCATATATATAAATGCACATAACACTGTACTTAATACCTTACACACTTTTATTTTATTTTATCTTGTATATAAATCACTTTAATTCAACTTTTGTCGACTTGCAACTTACATTGAATTGCACCCATATTTACAATAACACATGGTTGCAAACTGCCACATAACATGTGTTGCCATATTGTACAAAATAATACATACAAAAAAGGCAATGTTTAAAAAGGAATACAGGGGAAATCAATACAAAAGAAAATGAAAATTTACCGCTACTTTTATTCTGGGCGTGTATTATTATCAATGAGGGTTTCCGGTCACGAACCCCTGTGCAAAAATATTGCCCATGACGTAGGCGGTGTTGGTCCCGCCCGATTTGTTTGCTTTAAGTTCGGTCGAAGGCCGCTTACGCAGAAAGGTGTTCTCTGCAAGAGGTGTTCAGCTCATTTTCTTCGCAAAACAGAAAGGAGAATTCTTCTGCCTGAGGGTTATAATCCCTAAGTGCGGCCGAAGGCCGCCTACGTAGAAAGGTGTTCTCTGCAAAAGGTGTTCAGCTCCTTTTCTTCGCAAAACATAAAGGAGAATTCTACTGCCTGAGGGTTATAATCCCTAAGTGCGTCCGAAGGCCGCTTACGCAGAAAGGTGTTCTCTGCAGACGGTGTTCAGCTCCTTTTCTTCGCAAAACAGAAAGGAGAATTCTACTGCCTGAGGGTTATAATTCCTAAGTGCGGCCGAAGGCCGCCTACGAAGAAAGGTGTTCTCTGCAAAAGGTGTTCAGCTCCTTTTCTTCGCAAAACAGAAAGGAGATTTCTACTGCCTGGGGGTAATAATCCCTAAGTGCGGCCGAAGGCCGCCTACGCAGAAAGGTGTTCTCTGCAAACGGTGTTCAGCTCCTTTTCCTCGCAAAACAGAAGGGAGAATTCTACTGCCTGGAGCTTATAAACCCTAAGTGCGGCCGAAGGCCGCCTACGCAGAAAGGTGTTCTCTGCAAACGGTGTTCAGCTCCTTTTCTTCGCAAAACAGAAAGGAGAATTCTACTAAGTGAAAAATCCGAATTAAAAATCCGCTTTTATTATTCAAAATTCCAGTCTGGTAGCACCAAGTTGTATGTTATTTTGCTATCTTATTCATCGTTTATATGAAAACTTTAACAATAAATTATATATGAACTATAGGGTTGCTAGAAAAAAGGAGGGTATTTTTGAAATCAGTGGGTCCTATTCCACCCCCCCCCCCCCCCCCCCCTCATCACCCCTTTTTATAGAATTTACCGTCCGTCTACTAAAATTTTCCCAAATATTGGAATCGATAGAGATGATTGAGTTGAGTATAACAGTATATTTCTTTTTTTGGGCAACCAACAACAAAAATTATCAAAGGTTAAAGTTCAAAATAAGCAATTTTTGAAAACAAGATTTCTTAAAAACGGATGGATGGACCTTGAAAATTTTCATTTTTTTCTCATTTAATAGGAAATTTGATTCCCTTTAATTTGGTCTACGTACTTTATATATATGTTGTATAGTTCTTACAAAAATTGAATTAATGTAAAATAATTATAAAAAACTGAGTAGGCAATTCAGGAGTAAAGTCCTCTCTCGACGTACGAAAACCACGCTCTATAAGTCACTCATCATGCCCGTGCTGGTATATGGCGCAGAAGCATGGACAATGACAACATCCGATGAGGCGGCTCTTGGGGTGTTTGAGAGAAAGATTTTGCGGAAGATTTACGGTCCTTTACGCGTTGGCGACGGCGAGTACCGCAGACGATGGAACGATGAGCTGTATAAGCTTTACAACGATATGGACATAGTGCAGCGAATTAAAATACAGCGGCTCCGCTGGCTTGGTCATGTCGTTCGAATGGACACCGACGCTCCAGCTCTGAAAGTATTCAACTCGGAACCCGCTGGTGGTAGCAGAGGAAGAGGGAGGCCCCCACTGCGATGGAAAGATCAGGTGGAGAAGGACTTGGCTTCACTTGGCGTTTCCAATTGGCGTCAGTTGGCACAGAGGAGAAACGACTGGCGTGCTTTGCTGAACTCGGCCAAAATCGCTTAGGCGGTTACAGCGCCAAAAAAGAAGAAGAAGAAGAAGAATTATAAAAAAAACACCTTTTGCAGAGAACACCCTTCCGCGTAGGCGGCCTTCGGCCGCACTTAGGGATTATAACCCTCCCAACGTAGCATTCTCTTTCTGTGTTGCGAAGAAAAGGCACTGAACACCTTTTGCAGAGAACACCTTCTGCGTAGGCGGCCTGCGGCCGCACTTAGGGATTATAACCCTCACAACGTAGAATTCTCTTTCTGTGTTGCGAAGAAAAGGCACTGAACACCTTTTGCAGAGAACACCTTTCTGCTTAAGCGGCCTGCGGCCGCACTTAGGGCCATTTTCACCATCTCTGGTTAACACTAATCCGCAGTTAAACATCGTTACCGACGGTACTGACTCCATTCATTTAACATTGGGTCGGTAACGTCGGTAACAATGTAGAATTCTCTTTCTGTGTTGCGAAGAAAAGGCACTGAACACCTTTTGCAGAGAACACCTTTCAGCGTAGGCGGCCTGCGGCCGCACTTAGGGATTATAACCCTCACAACGTAGAATTATCTTCCTGTGTTGCGAAGAAAAGGCACTGAACACCTTTTGCAGAGAACACTTTTCTGCGTAGGCGGCGTCGGCCGCACTTAGGGTTTGTAAGCTTTTTTTTATAATTATTTTATGTTGATTCAATTTTTGTAATATATATAAAGTACTTATAGCAAATTAAAGGGAATCAAGTTTGCTATTAAATGAGATCAAAATTTTCAAAATCCATTCTCTCGTTTTTGAGATATCTTGATTTCAAAAATTGCTTATTTTGAACTTTAACCTTTGATAATTCTTGCTATTGTTGTTTGCCCAAAAAAAGAGGTATACCGTTATACTCAGCTCGATCATCTCTATCGATTCCAATCTTTTTTTTTTTATTTGAGATTTTTAGCCCAACTGCATTTATGCCGTAATTTGTTGTTATAGCTTAGTATCCAGCTCTTAAGAAAAGCAAAAACTCCATATAAAATGACGTACAAGAAATGGCTAAGAAATTTTCTTGAGTCAAATTTCCTTAAGGCAGTACGCAGTTCTTCAGAAATTTAGTACGCTTTCTACTACGGTTTTCTAAAGTTTTTTGTGAAAAAAGAGCACAAGGCAACCCAGGTTTGCAACAGAAATATATGCCCGTTCCATTATTTCTTGAAGAAAGAGTGAGGCAACAGGCTGTGAGGTATAAAAAATGTCAAAATTCCTTGGACACACACGCGAAATAATGGCAATTTTTTCTTGACCGTTTTCTTAAGAGCTGGATACTAAGCTTATAGTTGAAAATTTTACCTAACAAAATGTACGATAACAAACCATTTCAAACAAATACAAGTGTGCAGAGAACACACATTCCAACTAAATTAAGCTCTTTGAACGTTTATCTACTTCATATTTTATTAGTTTCATTATTTAACGATGAGGAACAGGTTTATAAATTTTGTTTATTTTTCTTTAGAGAACCCAGCCAGTACGAAAGTGCAAGTATGGACAATTACGAAGATGGCCGCATG